GACTTGATTAAAAGTTCTATAGTTGCATCAACTTATGCATTCTCACCCACATTATATATCCTTTTTTAGACTCATTTTTTTAAGACTCATTGCCACCTACAGTGGCACATTATGGCCCCAACTTCTCTTTAGTACTGGACTGTCTAGTACTGGATTATAAAGGGGAATGAATAGTTGCAATTTATTGTATTAAAAATAGGTTAAACTTAGGACCGTTAGATTTTTATTTTTTCCACATAAAATAAATCATTACTTAAATGATCATGATCAAATTAGACCAATCTAAATAAAATTTAATCAAATTATAATAAACATAAATGAAATAAAATATTAATCATTTCTAACAACAAGGAAGATAATGGTGTCTAGAAGTATTGAAGGAGAATAATAACGAGTCAAATCATAATTTTTTAACTTGTGACTGTTGATCCTACAAGTATTATTCACATGAATCAAACTTTTAAATTTTTTAATCATCTTAGGGTCTAATAGGGCCTTACTAGACCAATTTAAACATGAGTTTAATATATATCTATCATTTAATTTATGTCATTCTTTTTCATGCTAATATATGGTTGTTTGAACTACTTAAGATTTTATTATCCAAAATTTTCACTATTGTCCTTGTAGCTTACATTCAATTTTGACTAGAAAACAAAACAAACACATTAACAATAGTGACTCCAACAAATATGTCCTGATCATAGAATTTATGTCAAATTAAGGGAGAATACCATTAACCATAATTTTCAAAGACAATTTTTCTTATAATCACTTGACAAGATAGTTCCTTATAGCTAAATCCTGCAATTCTTTGCATTTTATCATGGGGAAAGTACGTACATTGAATAGAACTATTGATAACAAATGTCAATGTAGGGGACATAAACATTGTTACATATACCTGTTGTCGGAAGCAATTGTCTAAGATCAAAGAAATCAGTATGAGGCAATGAAAATAGTATATAACTAACTAGGTTTAAGGGAATAGTATCTCATCATGGGAAAGGGAATGCAAATGAACAAAAAGTTCATTGCTTACGTCCTTGTTTGAAAGGTTTTTATCATACACATTTTTGTGTCATTCATTGGGTATCCTAAATAATAGTATAATTTTAAATTATGATTGTGGTTGCAATTACATAATTGCGGATAAATATTACCGATGGCAATGTGAATATGAGATATGTGCCACATTAATGTTGTGACCATAACATATACTTACATGTGAGACCAACCCATGTTTTAAATTGTATAGTGACATATATTATTGTAGTTAAGTTTGTTTAGTATAATTGTAGAAAATTATGTTGAAATATATTGGATGCCTCTCGGGCTCCGACTAATTCTACCGTAGAGGCTAACGATAGACAATAACTTCCCCTGAACACAACTTACAACTTTCATGGTATTGTGCTCTCCAAAGAGCAACTCTTCTCAAAATCTCAAAAGGTGTTGAGTTGAAATCTCATTCTAACTAAGGATTCTTGTGGTTCCACAGGATCAACTACAGGAGAACCGGGAACGGAGAGCTCCCCCCACTTTTTTTGTGCCCGATTCTTTGTTATTAAGAATGCTGGTTTTAAGAATTTAAGAATGAGTGATTACCCTTCTCCAACCCTTCATGTCCAACCTGAGAGCGGGTAGCTAATGCGTTCCGCTTTTTTTTAACAGGGTTCTATGGTCGGTCCGCGACCTCCGAGATGCCGAAGGCCTCCTTGGGGTAATCTCGTAGTTCCTACGGGGTGAAGACGACGGAGTCGGTCTCACCATAATTGTGGTATAATGTTGTTGAGATTTGCCGTTGTGGAATCCAAGCCAATTTAAAATAATGGGGTAGTTAAATAAAAATCTCATTGAAATACTGATAATTCAATGTATTCTTTGAGTCCTCACTTTGTTTATGTTTGAATACTTGATACATATTATTTCATTTCACAAAATTTTCCCATCGAAGTCTGTATATCGAATCTTCACTTTGACAGTATTAGATAGAGTAATATAAGAAATTTAGAAATTCGTGAAAAGCATTTTCCATCACGTTTTTCTTATGTTCATGAATTTGGAATCACTTACGTTGTTGCTATTCCTTTGGTTAAAATACCACGATTTTTGTTCTGAGATGATTGATTTGACCAATGGTTGCAAATGCTACCTGAATTTGAATTAATTTCTGTGAGCGACAATTGTTAGAAGAAACAGTCACACATCTAATAAACATTAGTTCCTTACTCAAATAAGTGGGTGAGATATATTACAAAAAAAAAAAAGGATAAAAAAGGAAAGTTTAAGCAAGGTAGGTAGCGAGGTCTAGGATCATTGAAAAGTTCAAACACAACTATCCAAAACGAGTTTAATGTTCAATTTTCCTTTCTTGGCGAGATTGCCACCGTATATAGACGAGAAAATTAATCTTCTTTATTAATATGGACATACATGACATGGATACTTTTTTTCATATTGGTTTCTGTTTCCATTTCTTGAAAATAACAATGATCAAGCTTTGCCCATATATGATATATTTTTAATCTCTCATATACCAATGACTTTTTAATCTCCCATATGTTTGAAAAAGTATTCTCAGGGCTTGCATAACGAGTCAAGTCAAATCCAATTTGACTCATATTAACTCATTAAAGATTGACTTGAATTGAGCTTTAATCATGAACTTTTGAATAACTTAAAGAACTCAAATTTATGTGATTTATTTGATATGATCATTGATATAAATATGTATATGTGTATATATAAGAAGTGATTCAAATGATAACATTTGTTATTGTGAAAAATGAGAACATTTAATATAAACCATTAAATTTTATTTGAACGATCAAGATTAGGATATACATGCACATGACTTTTTTAAGTTATAATATGATTAGTAACTAATTTTTAATCCTAATCATTCATGTATAAATGTAAGAGCCAAATTTATTATTCTCAAAAAATTTATATGAAAATTTTCTTACTTGGGTCACTTCCTATATACATACGTACATATACAAAGAGAAGTGAGACTATACCAAATTGTATCCCAAAACCTCAAAACTAATTTTTCATAAAAATTGATTTTTAGTATTAGTTAAATAAGGGATGTTGATTTCAGATTTCAGATTCCAAATTCTCCACTCTTTTAAAAAAATAAAAATATAAAAAGTTTCAAATGATTATGGCTCAAAAATATCATTTCAAATTAATTCCGTCCACCAAACTTTTTCTTATTTTAATAATAAATAATAAAAATTGTAATGATTAATGGGCACCTAATTGGCTCAATAATTTTGACATATCATTTTAAAATAATTCTTCCTCCCAATTTTTGTTTTTCCTTTAAAAATATAAAATATTTTAAATGGAAATTTAATTGCCTCAATAATGGTGGGATATTATTTCAAATTAATTTCCCACAAATTTTCATTTTCTTTTAATAATATAAAATAAAAGGGTGAAAAGTTGTTTATAATTACCTTAATTCCCTCTAACTTTCGTTTTTAAATCAAATAAAAATGCAGTCAATACATTTTCTGCAAATTTATAAAAATGAAATTATTATTTTTACCCACTTATGGATAATGCAATATTTTCTTTGAAATTTTATAGAGTCTCTTAGGAATTTCTACCCAAAATAAATTTTATGTTTATTTTTAATCTCTAGAGTCAAAAAATTATTTTTATTCATCAATGAGTACTATAATAATTTTATGACTTCATAGAAATTATTAAAAAAAAAATTAATTGTGGTAGATACTTTATGATATAAATCAATATAATACATAATGACAATGTTCAAAATTTAAAAGGTAATTAATTGACATATTTAATTTTGAATATATATAATAAAATATGTTAATTGCGGTATTAAGGAGTGAGGTATAAGCATATAGAAAATACAAATAGAAAAAATATTAGAAAAACTCTCGAAAATATGTTTTTTCTCTCTCTTTCTCATCTCCATTTATCCTCACTATTATACTAGTAAGAAGTAGCGCTAATTTTTGGGACATATCATTCCTACATCATTTAATCGTTCTCCCAATTTTTTACATCATCAGATATGCACATTATTTTTATATGTTTTCATTTTCATTTTCATTTTAATTATTTCTCCAATAATAATAACAATACTAAACATAGTAATAATAGTAAATATTTTATTTTATGTAAATAAATAATGACTATAAAGATTAATGAGATAAATATTCATCTTTTCAATTAAAGAACAAAATATTATAAGACTTAATAAAATGACAGTAATTAAAATTATATTTGCCCCCATTTAAGTTGAGATGTGGTATCACATATAGGGTTCTTGTACTTCACTCACTTGAAATGAGCAAGCAAATAATGTGAAATGGTTAATCATCTATTTAAACCTTATAATAAAGAATTGTTAAGAGTTAAAAAGTAAATGCAATCATTATTGTGTTTTCTCCCTCCTTAAGTTAAGATATAGTATCGGACATACGACCCTACTTTATTTTTCTTAAGATGAGGATGGCGAACTACAATTAATTATTTATTCTTTTCAAATCTTAAAATAAAAATCATTCAACAAAAAAACATTTTTTTACTGAGAACTATGTAGCTTTAATCATATATTATTCATAGAGATACATAAGAGTAAGACTTATCTTATCAAACACTATAAAAATTTAAAGAGTAAATTAAAATCACACCCTCTGAGTTTTAATGAAATTATACAAATCACCTGATGAGACCCAAGGGGGGGATAACCCAACTTTTTGAAGAACTTGTCCTTTACTTGGCCACCTTCCTTAAAGATTAAGGACTTTTAGGTTATTTACTTTAAATAAGTGGGGGTTCTATGTCCCACACCTATTTTAATTATGTTATTCTTATCACTTTAGTTGTTATTGTATGCTACTTTCTTTTAGTGAGAATCTGGCCATGTAAGCAAGATGACTAATGCTTGACTATGAAAAGCTGAAACCGTGTGGCAGGACTTAAAGAGGGCAATCAATCCGGGCAAAAACATTCTTTATCAAGCCAAAGTCAAGCTCACTCAGCATGCCATTCAAATGAGCATTTAAACCACCATCAAGCCATGGGCATGACTTGCCAAAGGAGGAGCCTCGTGGGCAGCCATTACCTTATTGGTAGAGGGATGCATTCAGCCTTAAAACAGCCATTTAAACCGTGATCCCACACTTTGCATTATTGGAGGACGTGGAGTGAAAGTTTCCTTATGAAGTCTAGACCAAATCTGATTCAGCCAAGCCATTAAAGCAGCATGTGAAACTCACAATCCAGCTTTGAAAGCCAATTGATGACTTGCCAAAAATTACTCAAGGAGCATGATTGTTACCTTATTCAGCATGCAAGTTTGAATCTTCAACTTAATGAGTCGTATGGAGCTTGATTACTTGCCTTATTCAGCATCAAAAATTTAAATCCCCATTGATGAGCCATGTGGGAGCATTAGAAGTTGCCTTATTCTGCAACAAATGTGCATGTGCCGAATTTATCACAAATGCACATTCAAGAGGACTTAATTGTTGCCATTTCTAGAAAGCTATTTTGAATTCAGCATTCAATGGGCCACATGGGGTAGTTTGAATCAGCCTTCAAGACAATCAATGATCCACACAACACTTGCCCAAATGGAGCTCAAGAATTAAACCAAGGCCTCCAAGCTGACTCAGGCAGCCGTGGAGAAGTAATTGAAGTTTCCATACTCATCCATCTAAATTCATGGAGCCATAAAAACTTGTCAAATTGGAGCCATCAATGAGCCCACCCGTGGAAATAGCCATGTGCTCATTATTTGAATCATGCCTCATCAATTCAGCTATTGCGTGAGTAAATGGATGCAAACAGCCATCAAAACTTGCCAATTCTGGACCCAGGCGTGTAAAATGGCAAGGTCCATTATTTGAATTTCGACCACATTAAATCAGCCAAGACAAGGATAAATGCTAACAAAAACATGCCATTTCTAGATCAACCAACTTAATGAGGCAGCTGAACAAAAGGACATGTGCTCAACATTTGAATTTTTGGCCATGTGATTATTGTCTTTAATCCCAACCATCTAGCTTTAATTTTCTTTAATGCATACGCATAATAACTTGTAAATGCACAAAGAAAACGTGAATCCATATCTTTAGCTTATGTATTTACTCTTTTAACCAATCTTTTGGGAGACCACTAGGCTAGCCCCATTATATGTATCTGAATGCTTGAGTGAATAAGACAAGTTGAATTTTATTGGATTAAATCATTTCTTGTTTAGTTGAGTTATGCTCCTAACATTCTTAAACTTATCAAGACTTGTTCTTGTGGCGTTCCTTGGCTTATCACCTTCATTGGTGTGGCGCCTCTCCTAATCCTTATCAACATCCTTGTTGTGGCGGATCTCATTGGTTTATCAAGCTTCATGCTTGTGCCACCTTCCCCCTTCACATCTTATTCACATTCTTTTATCCAACTACATCCACAACCACTTCATAACCCCATCATACACGTCCAAACACTTACACCTCACCAAAACACAATTATACACAACCCAAAAAGCACCCAAAAACAACCAAACCGAATTACCAAACCCAAAAACATCCAAAAATACCAATTTCCGCAAACATCAATTCAAAGGTGAATCATCAAACAAGACAATCGTTTCAACAATACCAACCCCCACAAGGAGGTTGCTATCATCACCCCTATTTTTTGTGTCTTTACACCAACCACCCCTCCCACCTACACAAATAACACTTCAAATAATACAAAAGTCAGTGTTTCTTTATTATTTTTGTGTCATTACAACATACATTAATAATTTCAAATAAATGTTTAAATAACTCTTATACTATTTTATAACGAGCCGAATAATGAAGACGCATTGACTGTTATATTATTTGAATTTGTCTACACAATATACAATATTTTGTTTAATTAATTACACACGTCACATATTTTTTGTTTAAAATATTACACTTTTATATCATGCAGGGACTTTTATATCATGCAGGGGTTGTCAGTGTAACATATGTACAAAATTAGGGGTGGTTCGTGTAAGGACAAAAAAAGGAGGAGTGATTTGTGTAATTTCACTAAAACTCAGGAGGTGTGAGTGTAATTTACTCTAAATTAAAATATTTTTTTCTTTTTAATAAATAAAATAATCAAACTATTTTTGGGGTATAATTAGTTTATGCAATGAACGATAGTAAGTTTGGGCAGATAGGATACTAATACATTCTCTAGTCCATAACCGCTCCTGAATCAATATTCAAGTGTTACATATACATATATATATATATATATACATTATTTAATATATTAATATAACAATTATATAACTATAACATTTTTTTAAATATATATATATATATATATATATATGATTATATATGTAAGAAACTTAATTTTTACTTTAATAATTAAGTTTAACTTCTTTTTTTGGTTCATGAACCAATCTTATCAGACTAAATAACAAATCAAAAATTTTAAATTATCTAAAAATTATTGATTCTTTTCGAAGAAGTAAATTCAACATTATTAAGCATATCAATTATGTAAGTCTCAAGTTAATTATCAATCATTATTAAATTAGTTGAACAAAAATCACGTGGATAAAACTTTGTGAATTCAATAAGTTTTGTCATATCAAAACTAGAAAATATATTAGTTGGATTTACATACAAAGAAGCAGATGAGAGTATATCCATGAGAGTCAGAGTTTTGAAGAAACGATGATGAAATTCCTTAAGTTGCATATCGATGAGAGTATAGAAAAATTAGACATGATAATTATTATTTTTTTCATGAAGTATGATGTCCTTTAGAAAAAAAAAATTGAGCTTGCAGAGTTGTGATGTGATACTTATTTTTTGGGGGAAAATTAGGCTGTGCATTTGCACATGCTAGCAACAAATATGAATAAGTTTTTATCATTTCCACAAGATATACACTTTCAATTATTATTTGTTTTAAGCTTAAATATGTGAATTGAGTAGATTGTTTGTTGACACAAACACTTCGAATGTAATTGTAATGATAAAGGGTAGTTGGGGTCTAATTTTACAATAACTCTTTGTATACACTTGATTTATTATTTCATATCCAATTAGTAAGATCAATCCATAAAACAACTTTAAGATTAGCTAATGTCTTAGTCAATTAGCAACTTATGTAAGAAAGCTTTATGTCTAGCAACTTTGATATATAAGAATAAGAAATATAACTTGCAAAAAATCATGTCCCTATGTCTAATGATTCATGCATGCAATTAAGTTGAGTAAAAATACAACACATTAATTGTACTAGTCGTCAATGTCTTGGTCTATACTAGTACTTTATCAAATATAGTTCTATGTTAGTAACTACAATGATAAAAGTTGGTCTAGCTTGGGAGAATATTAGCGAATGTTATAGAGATATTGTTTAAGAAACAAAATAAATGATTTTATTGTCTAGTGATTCACATACCTAGTGAAGAATACTTCACTTATTTTATATTTCTTAAATGATAGTGCTACAACACTTATTTTTTAGCCAATGTAATATATAATTTCAATATGCTGATCATATAGATACTGTGAATTAATTAGAAGAATCCTTTAAGAATGCAAAAGAAAACTAGTCTTAAAATAAAATATAATACCTGTTGTTTAGTCTAATTGTGAACTTTCCTTAAATCATTAGGTTTTATGGCAAAGACTTCTCTAAATACACAAACAACTTGTCTAATATTTTTTTCCAACTTTATGGATTCATAGAAGACTTGATTCATAAAAAATATGGAAAACCCAAAAGGAGATTTTGTTGAATAGCATTCTCTTCTTTCCATAACAGCTTAAGGGGTAGAAATCAATATAAGGAATTGTAGGTATAGCAGGTTGCTAAGATGGAGGATATAGCAATGAAGAGTGAAGGAATAAGGGTGACATTAAGGAGCCTACTCTCACCCAAGTAGCCAGCCAAGGTAATAGTTGCATCAGCAATCACTCTTGCAATTGTCCCAGCCTCGGTTGAGAGGAGACCGCCGTTATAAGTTCCACGAGAAAGCCTCGATGACATGACGCGTGACAGGAGCGACAAGTTCACACCTGGTAGTCATGATGCCATGCAAATCAATTACTTTACTATCGAACATCAAAGATATTGGGGAGTATAAACAGAAAGATCGTGGGAAAAATAACCGCATGTTTTTTTATCGGTCATGATATTGCTCCTGATGCTGAATTCTAAAGGTGCTTTTATCACTAAAATTTCTTAGTTCCACTTAATGTAACACATCATGCAAAAATGACTTACCTTCAAGTACTTCTGCGGAAACAAACAAAAGGAGACCAGAAGCGATGTATTGTGGCTGAGAGTATGGGAAAATTATATTGAAGCTCAGGACAACACCTATGAAAACCATAAGCTCTGATGCCAACAGAATTTGCCTATAACATATCAATAAAAAATCATATCTCAGATGCATATCGAAAATGTTTCAACAATTTTAAGGCTCCAAATGGATTTCAAAAGGACAGAAAAGTGTGGATCTTGATCTCTATAGGGTTTCTACTTTTTATTAAGCATATAAACATGCAAAATGTATTATCGTGCATGTTTCTGGAAATCGAACTACGTCATGAATTAGCATATAGGTGGCAATCAAATGAAACATGGGTTTTTAGTAGACAGTACCTGTCCTCAAACATGTTGCTTATATAGCTTCCAACAACAATGTTTACTGGAAGAACTGTCAAGCCGAGGCAAGCAAGAAAAATTGAAACTGTGCTTGTTGTCCAGTTGAAGTAGTAGGTTGTGATAACACTAGATTCTGATAGTAGTATCTCCATCACATATTTGAGCATGAAATAGATCAATAACTGAACCTGAAGATGTTAAATAAATTGGTTCAGGTAAAACGGCAAACTTTTGCAATGTTTTATCTAATCATCATCTCTCATTGGGACTCGGAAAATTATAACATCAAATAAACAGCATCAGAAGAAATCTTAAATTATCCAAGTTAGATGAGAAAAAGGCAATCAACAACTTAAGATATATTATATGTCTAAATCATCTTTTATTACAGGAAAAAGTGCCCATAGTACAAAATAAGCAGCACTTTTAATGGTAACTGATAAATCAAACATGCTAAAGGTATTTATAGACTCAGGTGTGTACTTTTTTCGGTGGGTGGGTGGGGGATCAGTTTCCACCTCATGGTCCTACGTGAGCAAGTAACCGTAAATGGACTGAAAATTTTAAGCATGCTACTCATAGTCCAGTAATCATTTAAGTAATAAGTAAAGGATGTTCCGTGTATCTCTATTAGCCAGTGACAAGAAACTAGAAACCAACAAATCATCTAAACCTGACACCTCTTCAGTTTGTTATGCTCAGATTTGATCTTACCCGAAAACTGGAGATGCTTGTTACCTATTTTATAGCCCACTGATTCCTATTCAAATATCAGCTACTTCGGAAGCCGAACATAGCATATATTATTCTTCTATAATCTGTAGCATGCAAGTTAGTAAGACCTGAATATCATCTCTACAACTTGGCATTATGTTTGTGCTATGTAGATTAACTTTGAAGTCATCAATCAATATTTTGAGCTACTTTATAATTGATTGATAACTAATAATTCATTCAAAGGCTACAGATTAAGTAAATAAGACATTTGAGAGTAAAAGAAATGCCTTTGAGAATTGAGACCTCTCATCCCATTTATGAAATTATATTATTACAGAATAGCATCTTATTAAATGAGCTAGCCATTTGGCTCCATGCAGAATCTAGTTATACGATGTCCACTATCACCTGACTCAATTATTATGTTCCAAAAACTTCACAAGAAGTCTCTTAAATAGATGTATATGCACCTAGTTCACAAGTTTTGTGGTC